AGAAAAAAAAAATTTATTTATTTTTTTCTCTGAAGAAGGGTCTAGGCCCAAAACGTCAGCCTTCCTGCTCCTCTGATGCTGCTTGGCCTGCTGTGTTCATCCAGCTCTACACCTTCTTATCTCAGCCAATTTAACCCTCTCCCAGCCTGCAGGGAGGACATAGCCAACATGGAGAGGTGAGCAGACCAGCCTGTGTGAAAAGTGTCCCCTACCAAATAAAGACCCTTCGCAACATACCTTGGATACTCCTGTCTGAGGCCGGATATGCACGACTGTGGCTTCCTAACATAACAACTTACCTGAATACCTGCAGGGGCGGGCAATGGATTTTTATGATTCAAGTTCAGATTAAATTGAACATAAATGATAAAGGACACAAGCAACCGCAGGGTGAAGTGAGAAATCTCTCAATGGTTTGGGTAGAAAGCAGACCGATTCTGAGTGGCTGCGTAAAAATAATGGGTGAGAGATGTGTTTCGAAGGGCAGATGCCCAGTGGGCATTGAAACCAAGAGGCTTCTGTTGTGTAACTAGCTGCGATTGGCAAAAAGGCTGACGTACAAGAAAATGTTTGCCTCAAAAAAGGGAGCACATGACGGGAGACCTGTAGCCCTGTGTGGAGGTATTCGAGAAGTTTCTCAAGACTGAAGAGAGTTTAGTGAGAAACTAAACTGCCACAGATTATTTTCCACCAGGCATTGAATCTGTGACACCTGGGCACAAGTTTAAGACAATAATAAAAAAATTGTTGGCGAATTTAAGGGAAAACAGGCCTTACACATGGGATGCTAGGAATGTCAAACGCTCTGCCCAGCCATTGGTCAGGCAGAGTCTATGAATACTCCTCGAAGGTATGTTAAACGTGAAGCAAAATTATTTTTACCATAGTTTTCAAAAAGGGACTTCATAGAATCGAGGGGCATGATTTTTCTGACCCTGAAGGTGGTGAGAAGGGCAAATAATTGAGAAGGTTGGCTCTGGATGGATAGTCATGCTGCATCTTTTCAGCGATTGAGTTCAGAGACCTCCTTAACCTGCTGGCAATAAGGACCCTAAATTAGCAACTAGTTAAAGGCCTCAGTCCACCAATGGCCTTCTCAGAAGGTTGGAATATTGACTGTTTTCCCAAACCTGGGCATTGTGGTAACTGCCTGCTGGCTTGGTGAATGGGTGGGGGGGGGGGGGGGGGGGGGGGGGGGAGAGGGGGGGTGGAAGGGGAAAGGGTCTCCATTTGCCCCAGTATGGCCACTGAAAGCCACCCTCTCTATATTTGCCTCCAACACCCAAGATGCCCCTCTTCCTAACTCATCGTTACTAGCTCAGCAGTGCAGGTCTTCATGGCTCCTCAGATTGAGCCTTCGTCGATGCCCCTCATTCTCCCTGAGACTGCCAGCCTTGGATTGGCAACAGAGTGGAGGTTTGATGCCGCAGCTCCTTATTGGATGAAAAGCTGTCTGGGCGTCACTTAAGCATCTGATTGATTCTCGATCCAGTGAACTCTCTCGCTGGTGAAGGTGGGCAGTTGGTCTCCCCTGAAGTCACCCTGTCCCTACACAGTGCACAGAGCAGGAAACCACGGCTATAGGATGGCCACAGCACTGAAGAAGACCATTCATCCACTGTTATTATCCTTACCCTCCTAGGGATCAATTCACCAAATGCCATTGTCCACCTTCTCCCTATGGCCCTCTTCCCTTTTCAGAGTATAATCCAAATCCTTCTCAAAAGTCTCGATTGAACCTGCTTCCACTGCACTCTCATGCAGCACATTCCAACTGTCAACCACTGTATACGTGAAAAATGCTCTCGCTTGTGTTGACATTGCTTCTTTTACCAACTGCCTTAAATCTGTGTCCTCTAGTTCTTTATCCTTCCACCAATGGGAACAGTTTCTCCGTATCTACACTGTCCAGGCTTCTCATCAGTTGGAGCACCTCTCTCAATCAAAGTGTATCATTATGTGAACGGAATAAATTTGCAGCACAATGGGTAAAGGCATTAGGGTGGGATTAGTTGATATGCCCTTGCGGAGAGTAGGTATAGTCACAATGGGGGCTGAATGAGCTCTGTTCTGTGCTGTAACCATTCTGTGGTTGTGGTATTTAAAAGGAATCAGGTCGGAGCTAGAGAAGGAAATATCAAAAGGCACAAGGGAGTGAAGAGGTGAATGGGACAGTGCAGACAGTTCACACTGAGCCTATTACAGTGCTGTACTGTTCTATGATTCTGCATTGTGGTTTATGACATTTAAGATGACATACAAATATTTCACTACACATTTATTTATTTAAATTGGTTTAATTAGGAGACGTCAGAGATTTTTGGGTGGACCTGCTTTTGATGGTGTCCTGGTATGTTACTGGGACTTAACAGTAATGTAGTGTTGATCAGTTGGGTAACTGGATCTTCAAGTGGAATCTGCTTATTTTCACTGCTGTCTTGGTAGACTGGGCACAAAGTTCAGGACTGGCATTGCCCTTTGATGAGAGTCACGTACAAAGAGTGTTCTGTGGTAGCTGTGATTTTGGCTGAGCTTTAAGATCCAAGAGGTTTGTGAGAGTGTATGATGCGCCTATCGTCAATTTAAAATGGAGGAATTAGATTTCAAACAGCATTATATAAATTTCTTTTCCAACATATCCGGAGGATGTTTGAAAACGTCTGCCGCATGTCACTGAGATTATGGCATTCTTTTGAAGTCCAACGTTTGGCGTCTTTCTTGCTTTCAGGACCTGGGCGCACCGACGAAGAGCGAAGTGATGATCGCCATCGCCATCGCGAGGAGCGTCTCATCGCCCGTGAGCAGGAGAAGCTGTTGAGGTGAGTTGGCCAGAACCATGGCAGGGGCTTCTCAACTCCTGGTTTCAGCACTTTCCCTAGAAACAGTGCCCCTGGATGTTTGGCTCAGCCATGTGGGTACAGCATAGACATAACTGAGTCAGGGGGCCGGGCAATTGGCAAACCTCAATAGAAGACCCACCACAAGCTTCTCAAGGGCACAAATGGTCCCTGTAGATTTTCTGGCTGATATCACGATATTAATGGAGGAATGGTTCTTTTTTATATTATGTAGCTTTTCTAAAAGTGACACCTCACCATGACACATATCCCACCTCATTCAGTTGACAATGCCCCAATAATGTAACCTCCATATTACAATCGGCCTGAATCAGGTGTCGATGGAGAAAGGTCCCTTCTTCAAGGCTTAGGCACAAAGTGTAGTAGTTATCTAGTCCTGAGGGAGCCATGCACTGTTGGAGAGGTTATTTTTCAAATGAGACTTTAAACCCAAGGCTTATTGTCAGCTTGGGTTGCCCTTCTGAAGAGAGGAAGGGCACCAGGAGCCCAGGCCAAGCGTTCTTTCTCGACCAGCATCCCCAAGTCGTTTATCATCATTCCTCATGTGGCATCTTTCTGTGCAGAAGATTGAGTATGCTTTAGAAAGGCCTCATTGGATGAGAAGCGCCGTGCTTAAAGGTCGTATAAGTTTAAGCTCTAACTCTCGTTCATCTCGAGTAATGTTATAGAATATCAGCTCATCACACTTTACATATAAGGAAGTGACTTTGGAGAAGTAAATGTCACAAATTGGTTGAGTTGATGTAACGTCTTGTAGGGATTATAGAGTGACCAGCACAACAATGACCTCAGTCTAAAGTAACACATTTTTTTTTCCTTTAAAAGTAACAATCAGGCCCTTTCACTGCCTTGGAAAAGTGTTGTGCTAAACGAAAAGTGCTCTCATTAATTCTGTTACCCAAAGATCTACAAGTGTTATTATGTTTAAGTGATCCAAGACAAACAGTTTGAAAAAGCTACGATATGTACACTGGAGGGATTATTCTTATTACACTTCCCACTGCCTCCCTGGAGGGAATGTTTCTCCTTCGTTATTTTTTTCTTGACTTGTTGTCCATCCTGCATGTGTTTGCTCCCATAAAGACTCCGGGGACAGGGACGAGACACAACAATGTCTTGCTCTACACCAGCCGCAGTCAATGAGACAGGCTAGGGTTGAGCAGAATTGCAAGGATACAGCTGCACTATCTGAAGCTGGCACAGGTTCAAGCTGGCAGAGCTGCTGCAGAAGCACAAAGGGCGCCTTCATCGGATTTTTGTTATTTAATCCTGACTTACAGCAGTTGTTATTTCTTCTCCCCTTATCTGTCAGTTGAATTACCGTTTGGAACTTATGTTTTTAGATATCCTTTTACATTAACCTCCCCTTTTAAGTTCCTTTTAATAAAAGCATTTTATGATGTGGTATGAAAAGTTGCAGAAATCCTGTAGTATTTTCATACATGCTGTGGACAGGAGTCTAAAAGAGGTAAGGCTTGTTTATAAATATAGCGAGTGTCGGATGAATAGTCTGGTGCTGGATTGCTCACTTTTATTGCTGCCCTTTTGTTCCACTGATTCCTTTCCAGTTTCATGTTTAAGAATATGAGGCAAAGACTTGCATTTGTATAGCACCTTTCAGAACCTCAGGGCATTCCAAAGTGCTTTACAGCCAATTAAGTAACTTTTGAAGTGCAGCTATTGGTGTAATAGAGGAAACATGACAGCCAATTAGCTTCCACCAAAGTCTCGCCAACAGTAGTGTGATAGTGATCAGGTAACCTGTGCCTCTGATGTTGCTTAAGGACGAGATATGGGTTGGGACACAGTTCTTCCTTGAATCCTTGGGATCTTTCTGAGGGGGCAGCGAAAGCGTCAGTTTCAATGCCTCACTTTAAAGACAGGCAGAGTAGCACTCCTTCAGTACTGCACTGGAGTGTCAGCTTGGATTTTGTACACAGGTTTCTGGAGCGGGACTTGAATCCTCAGCTTTCTGAATCCAAGGTGAGGTTGCTGTCCAAACCTGCCACTTTAAACGGGCACGTCTGCATGTTTCGTGTTTTTGAATTGGTCGGTCCTTGTCACCCAGTCTTTGGTCATGGCATTGTTGGTTGGAGCCCGGTTGGGAATGGGCACTTGATGGTAATCACTTGCTGTGAGTGAATTCATGCCGTTTCACAGGAGGAAAGTCACAACTGGGCACTGTGCATTGTGGAAACCTTGTCAGAACAGGCGTGTCATATTATGTTATCTGCTCCCGCCAGCAACTGGAGAGTATAAATAGGATGAATGAGGAATGCTGATAGGATACAGATTATCTCTCTCTGTGACATTTAACAATAGCGAGTGCACAGCATCGTTTTGAACATGGAATTCACTTCACAATGACCATTAATCTGTCAGTAACTTCCCGCTCTGTGCAATTATTGGAATTGTTTATTTGGAAGTTTTCAAACCAAAGACTGATGAATGTTTTTGTGAAAATATGAGGAGCATTTGAGTTCAGTAGCATTGAGTACACAAGTGAAAATGGCTTCCATATTTTGGAAATTTTGTCAACTCTTTTTGAAGCTCGCAAATTGTAGAGAGCCTGCTTTGCGATGCTAGTGAAAGCTCCCCTGCAACATGAGGTCATTGGGAGCTGTCAGTACCACTTCAGGATTTGGCTCACGTGGAAATCAGCATTTCTTGCAATAGAGAAGGCAGCTCCCTAATTGTGCACATATGTCTGTGTGTACATGTATATGTGCATGTGTGTTTGTGTGCTTGTATGTCTTTGCATGTGTGTGTGCGCCTGTTTATGCACGTCTGTATGTGTGTGCATGCGTGTGTGCATCTGTCCATGACTGTACCTTTGTTTGCATCTCTGTGCATGAGTATCCACGCACGCATCTGTGTGCATGTGAGTGAATGTGTGTGTTTGTGTCCTATGCCTGTGTGTGTGTGTGAGTGTGTGTGTGTGTGTTTGCAATGGGAGACCCCATCTACCAGAGCAACCAAGTTCCCTCGAAACTCATTCCCAATTATCATCAGCCAGCTCAGGCATCAGGCACATCAAGGGGGAACTGCTTGGGGTAGAAGTGGGGGTATGGCTGTGGGATCCATCTGAACAATTACACCTCTAACTTGCCTGTGCAGTTTAAGAGTCTTTCTGTTCCTCCCTCTTCTGTCCTCCCAATATGTGTCTTCAGTGTATCTTCTTGTTTCCGATATTTAGTTTCTGTTTGCTGCCCCTCCCCAGCATATATCCTTGCAGCTTAGAGTAAAGGGGATAGGCACAGTGCCAGATCTGGCAACTGGGCATGCTCCATTCTGTTAGTTAATTGATAACATTCCAATCTTGACCTTGTTGCTGATGGAAACTGAATCCTGCAGCTCCAGTTCTCTCTGTTGTGCCTGTTCCATCTTATAGAAAAAAAAAGCTTTTAGCTTTCACTTAGAAACACAGGACAATGGAAGTGGGCATGTCAGGGGATTTGCCTTTAGAGAGGAAAGATCTGTTTTTTTTTAAAGATATCTTTTTATGGCTTTCTTTTCATCTGTCTGTGTTGAAAGGTTTCTGAAACAACTAACTAGAGACCCTGGTATTGGCAGATCTCCTGTGAACTTCTTTGCTTGCCTTTTGTTAGTGGAGCCCAGAGTGGGCATGTGCAGGGACACAGGGCCTATTCACTGCTTTCCACTGAGGTGCAGAACTGTTATATTGTTAAGTGATTTATACTTTCCTGTCTTTCTGCCTCCACAGATAAGTTGAAGATGAAAGCTAAAGATGTTTGTTCTACAAAGTGCTTTCAAATTTCACTCTCCCAGCTCCCTCACAATACTTACAAAAAAAAAACTTAGATGCATGTACAAAAAAGATAACAGGCCTGCGAATCCAAGTATTTCCATTTTAAACCATAGAAATTTGCGAGTTGCTGCAAAGGTCAGGACATTTTAGAAATCTGTCCCTCGGCATCCTGTTTTCTCGCCCGCTGTTTTTTGAACGGAACAGCGAGAACACTTGTGAGTGTTTGGTTATGGGAGCTGACCTGCTGTCTCCAAATTTAGTCTTTGCATTTTTAATCTTCACTTCACTTCAGACGAGGCAATTGGACACATTGTGGTCAAGCAAGCTGCCTCACCCCTCCAGTGAGCTGCCATTGATTTTCTTTAAAGAGGCTCAGATATACCTTGGACTGCGATAAAGAAAATCAGAAGGCCCTACCTCTCCATTCCAGCCCATGTGTTACAGTACACAGTGCTTCAGGTTCTCTGCCTATCTCCCTTCCTCTCCACCCAGACCACTGAGAAAATATTTTCCTTGAGATTTGGCTCAATTATACCTCTTAGTCTGGTTGTGCTTGAATGAAAGGTATTCAAATTCCTCTAATATATACCAGAGCAACAAGTCAATGTTGGACTAATATCTGGCATGCCCTGCAGTCAGCTTTGTAATAGTCATGACAGGTTCACAGATCTCCAGGATGATATTAATGTCCATAAGCAGCTCCCTCTGCTTCCTCTCCCCTCGGCTACAGAAAACCACCTCAGCAGTAAAATGTGTGTACATTTTCCAAATGAAAGCGCAAGGATTATAAGCAGAATACATCATGATTGTTTTGCTGCCGATGGATTTCTCTAAATTTCCTCTGGGATTTTTGATCATAACTCATTCATCACCTTGTCAGTTGAAAATTTATTCAATCAGCGTCTCTCGGTAATTAAAGCCATGATACAAAGCATTGCCATCTTAAGACCTCTGTGCATCTTGTTTTTGCAGGAAATTGTACATGTACATAGGCGTTCTAACAGAATGCAGCAGTTTATTTCTTTGCGTCAAACTGTTTAATCTTAAATTGACTATTTTTCTTCTCCAAACGCAGAGAGAGTAAGGAGTTGGCGGATTTTGCCCGGTTACATCCTCCAGGCTGCAGCACTGGTAGTCTGAACTCTAACCTGATGGTCATGGGAGGGCCAGCTCTGGCTGGAGCTGGTCGCTGGTCTACTGACCCCACCTCACACTTAGCATCTCATCCCTGGCTTCCTCGGACTGGGAGTCCCTCCATGTGGCTGACAGGTCATCCATACGGTCAGTACAACTGTGGAAATGGAACTGTCACAAATTCTGTTGTGGATTGAAACATTGGAGTAGGACTTAACCTAGACTGTGCAGCATAGGAACAGGCCATTCAGACCAATGTGTCCGCCCTTACACTCTGCAAGAACATCTTTCATTATCTAACCCTGTCCACAACATGTTCTGTTCCTATCCCCCTTGTTTACTTCTCTTTGAAGGCATCTCTGACACGTGCCTCAGATAATCCAACATCCACTTGCTCATCACTCCCTGGATTAAGATGTTCCCCCTCTGTTTGTTATAGGATTTATTTGTGATGATTAGATAGTCATGACTCCCTCATTGTCATATACCCCGCAAGCAGAAACCCCTTCTCAACGCCTACTTCTTTGAAGTCCTTTGTAATGTTAAAGGCTTCTTAGAAGATGAGAGAGACCCAGTCTGTTCTTTCTCTCTTCACTCTGTGTGAACAGTGTAAATTGGCTGACAGAAAGTTGGAAACTCCCATATCCCGTATTTCCTTTCAGTGGCAAAGATCTGGCTCCAAATTGGCCATTTTACATTATTCTGAAAAATTACGATTGACCTCCAAATGCTGCCTCCATGATCAGTAACTTCCTGTGAATGTGCAGATTGGAAACGGGACTTGGACATGAAAGGTATATATTAGAGCAATTGCACAAGCGTATACACCAGAATCAAAAAAACAAATTTCCAACCAACCTGTTCAGAGATGCTAATGCACACTTCTGAGCAGGTGGGACTTGAACCTGGTCCTCCTGGCTTATAGCTGGGACATTACCACTGCTCCACAAGAGTCCCGTAAATATGTACGGATACTTTACAGCTGCTACGAGTGAGACCTTAAACAGAAGCTTTACTCTCGGTTACTGGGATAACAAGGT